GATCACACAACTGTACTCTAGCCTGGGCAACAGAGCAAGACTCCATCTCAAAAAAAAAAAAAAGAATATTATTTGTTCTCTGAAATCATTTTAAACCAAGAGTTCCAGCCAGGTGCAGTGCTCATGCTTGTAATCCCAGCACTTTGGGAAGCCTGGGCAGGAGGATAGCTTGAGCCCAGGAGTTCTAGACCACCTGGGCAACGGAGTGAGACCTCATCTCTACTAAAAGTTGTTTTGGGCCGGGCGCAGTGGATCATGCCTGTAATCCCAGCACTGCTCTGGCTAACATGGTGAAACCCCATCTCTACTAAAAAATACAAAAAAATTAGCAGGCGTGGTGGCGGTTGCCTGTAGTCCCAGACACTTGGGAGGCTGAGGCAGGAGAATGGTGTGAACCCGGGAGGTGGAGCTTGCAGTGAGCCAAGATCGCGCCACTGCACTCCAGCCTGGGAGACAGAGTGAGGCTCCGTCTCAGGGGAAAAAAAAAAAAAAGTTTTTTTGTGTGCTTGTTTTTTTTTTTATTTTTTGGAGATGAAGTTTCGCACTTGTTACCCAGGCTGGAGTGCAATGGCATGATCTCGGCTCACCGCAACCTCTACCTCCCAGGTTCAAGTGATTCTCCTGCCTCAGCCTCCCAAGGAGCTGGGATTACAGGCACATGCCACCACGCCCAGCTAATTTTGTATTTTTAGTAGAGACGGGGTGTCTCCATGTTGGTCAGACTGGTCTCGAACTCTCGACCTCAGATGATTTGCCCGCCTCAGCCTCCCAAAGTGCTGGGATTACAGGCGTGAGCCACCGTGTCCGGCCTACTAAAAATTTTTTTTTTAATTAGCTGGGCAGGGTGGTGTGCACCTGTAGTCTCAGCTACTCAGGAGGATCACAAGTACAGGAAATGGAGGCTGCTATGACTGTGTCACTGCATGCCAGCCTGGCCAAGACAGGAAGACTGTGTCTCAAAAAAAAAAAAAAAAAAAAAAAATTTAAATAAGAATTCTTAATCCAGAGCTTTGATTAAAAAAAAAAAAAAAATCTGAGTTTATTGGGAATTACTGGTTAGCTTTCAGAATATCCCACATATCTTTATTTTCAGAACTCCCAAAACTCTCACATTAAGAAAAAATTCTGTTAGCACTGTGGCAGGAAATGGTTGTCTTCTGAATCCATAAATTTAAGCTCTAAAAATCTAATCAATGCTACCTGAAAAGGCCCCCATGGATAAGGGATGCTTTGAGGTCCTGCCTTCCTCAGTAAGACAGATTTCATTAATTTTTTTTTTTTTTTTTCATTTTGGAGCAAAGCTGTTCCTTACTTCAGGTTTAATGTGATGTCTTAATGCTTGTTAGTGGCAGAATACAAGAGCAATGTGGGATGGATCTGGGGAAGCTGGAAAAGAATCTTTCCCTCATGCTAGAGCAGAGTCCATTCCCACTCCCAGCTATCACCCACCACACAACTGCCACCACAGGGGCAATGGCGCTGTCGAGAAGCAGAAAGCAGACTCTTACGTTGCTGTGATCCAGAACAGTTCCTTCGGGTTGTGGAGGGGAAAATATGAGAATCTTTAAAACCTAGTTCAAACCTCCTTTCCAAGGATCCCATTCATTCAGAGGCACCCATCTTGTTTGACTCTCTCTGACTTTTACGGATAAGGTCTTCCATGCAAACCAGCGGGCGGCACCAGGCTATACCTTGCCTGACCCAGTCTGCGTGCTAGTGTCAATTCCCAGACGTCAGTGGTCCAGTCTGAAATCTCTACCACATCTTTTTCAGCAGCTGTTGCAAGGATGAGACTATCAAACGCACTCAAACGTATCTGGATTGAATTAGTGCTGTACGCCCTTTCAGTTACAGTAGTTTAAAATTAGAATATATTAATAGTGGAGTTAAAATCCCAGCCTCAGTTGTGTTTGTTAGCTAAACTCAAAGCTTTTTTGACAGTTCATTGTCAGAAAAGAGATACATGTTAAGATGCTTCACTTTCACATATTAGCTGCTTCCAACAAGCTACCTAATGACAGTATTACAATAATAAATTCCAAGAGCAAACTGAGAACAATTCCCCAAAATTTAAGACCGACATTCGAATTCTATTATACATTCATGTCAAAGCAGTTCTTCCCCAGCACCCATAAATGAATGGAAAATTAGAATGCTTTTCAGTTCAAGTCACACAATTAAATCTAGTTCCCGAAATATTTAGCAATCTTTATCTTTAGTGCCTTCAATTTAAGAAGCAATACTCATCTTAAAGGTGCTCTGTAATTACTTCTTACCGAGAATAAACAAGAAATCTTATTTTAAATTATATCCTCTGGGATAGCTAGAGATCCAAATTAGAGACGTAGAATTAATTGAAATGTAGACCTTTTCCTTTAGATATATTTTAGTAGAGATAGGGTTTTCAGTGAATTATTAACATATACTTATATATGATCAGTTACATACCAAAATGACACTTTTCCCTGTTGTTTCTTTTAAAGGTTAAAACACACACACACACACACACACACACACACACACACAAAGAAAAGACACACCATAAGACAGATTATTTTCACCAGATATTGGAAAACTTATTCGTTCATATATGTATTTTTGAGATGGAGTCTCACTCTTTCACCCAGGCTGGAGTGCAGGGTGCAATCTCTGCTCAGTGCAACCTCTGGTTCAAGCGATTCTCCTGCCTCAGCCTCCTGAGTAGCTGAGATTACAGGTACATGCCAACACGCCTGGCTAATTTTGTACTTTTAGTAGAGACGGGGCATCACCATGTTTGCAAGGCTGGCCTTGAACTCCTGACCTACAGTAATCTGCCCGCCATGGCCTCCCCAAAGTGCTGGGATTACAGACGTGAGCCACTGCGCCCAGTCCAAATTATTCATTTTGTATAGGAATGATCGAGTGACATTTCCAACACACAATTCTTTCAAACTGATGCTATTTAAATGAAGAAAAGAGCAAAACTACATAATGACTAATTCTTTCATTACCTGTCTTCATTGAGATGATGATTTAAGAGTGTATTCTTTCTCAGTCTTCAGGGAAAAGGGGCATGTATAAATCTTCACATCCCTTCCCCTCCGTTCTTTAATGACACTTGGCCCAATTCAAGTAGTTGCTCAATAAATACTTGTTGAATGGATACATTAATTAATTCTATAGCACCATTCACATAAATACAAATAATAAATGAGCAAAACCCAAAGAATGATTCAGCTGAGATGGTCCTAAAATTGAGAGAAGGCTTTGCAGAATTCAGAATCTGTAATGATAGTATTGCATTATGGATTGGATATAAAAAGATCAACGTCATAAACCACAAAGCAGTGCCAAGAAAGTAATTTTACTTTCAAATGAGAACTTGAAAGAACAATAAATATCACAGACATCAGGAACAAGATGTTTTTATTTTGTAAAAAGTACACTGCCAACCAAATTTTAATAGTATAAAACTGAACTACCTGAGAAATGAAGTTGATATGTGATCTTATGCAACTAGAACTAATTTATCCAGCCTAGCTTCTTCAGCTTTTCAGACTCAAAGACAATGAATAGGACCAAATTTGTGAACCAACTGGTGAATGAAGCATTCTCTAAGAGAACTGCTCCTCTAGAATATAAACAATGCTGAGATTAAAGAAACTGTATAAAAGACCAAGAGATTAAAGTTAGAATTGTTTTAAATCGGAAAGATATATAGATACATACACACACACACACACGCCCACGCCCATTCAGATTTGTTTTTTGCTTACTGCCCATATCTGAGGCATTTGAAAGTCAAAGTGAATAAGAAATCTTTTTTTTTTTTTTTTTTTTTTTTTTTTTTTGAGACAGAGTCTCACTCTGTTGCCCAGGTTGGAGTGCAGTGGCGCAATCTCGGCGCACTGCAAGCTCTGCCTCCCAGGTTCAGACCATTCTCCAGCCACAGCCTCCCAAGTAGCTGGGACTACAGGCGCTTGCCACCACGGCCGGCTACTTTTTTGTATTTTCAGTAGAGATGGGGTTTCACCATGTTAGCCAGGATGGTCTTGATCTCCTGACTTTGTGATCCACCCGCCTCAGCCTCCCAAAGTGCTGGGATTATAGGCATGAGCTACCACACCCAGCAAGAATACTTTGTAAATTAAAAAAAGAATATAGAAGCACTACCTTGTTCCCCGAGTTAGCATTTCATGACATTTCCCTCTTGCCAAACTCAGTAAATAGGATATAAATCTATTAGTCAAATAAATGTCTAGAAAGAACTAAATGACCGCAAAAAAAAAAAAAATCAGGAGTTGAGTACCCTTTCCACAAGAGCCTACGAAAGTGAGATTCAATTTAAAAAGAAAAATTGAATATTACCAAAAAATATCTACCACCCAAAACTTGGTATTCATATTAATCCAATAAAATATCACAGAAACTACTTTCAGTATTAACCATCACAGAAACCAACAAAACCTTTCATATAAAGACAGATTTCCACTGAAGTCATAAACATGCCAACGCTGCTCTCCAGTTCCAGAAAACTGAATCTGCGGCCTAAGATTAAGACGAGCAAACAGGAAAGCACGGAACCAAGAGCGACAACTAACAGATGAAATTCTACAGTTTAAAGTGATATAAAAGAACTGCAAAGTAGTCAATGGTCTGAATACCTTTGTTGGAGCAGTATCCATGAAAAGCTATAGAAAAAAAAAAAGAGAGAAAAGGGCGTAAAACTTTCATATAAACTAGAGAGTCCAGATGAGATGTACACATTCCAGTTCAATATCCTTGAGTTTAGGAAGGTTACCATCAATTTTGGAAAATGTTTTCAAAAGTAATCCCTGCCTAATACGGAAGTCAATTCTTCTTATAACGCTAGAAATCAAATGACTCACTTTGGAAGCTAAAAATGAAACAGTGGAAAGAAACAATATTTGAAGATTGGTTAGTTCCTACGAACCAGTCTGTTTGTCTCTAATACAATCTCTTCCACATTTGTCCTCAACAACTCCGCACCTACTTACCTCATTCATAAAGGCGCCTGATCTAGAGGAGGCGTGGCTTTGAGATGTTCAAATAGTCTGTCTGTGTTTTCATGTCAACTTATAAATCCTTATAACAATTTTAATGTGAAGGATTTACTTAGGTAATAAAAATATTCAGAAGCTAAGATGGGAAGGAAAACAAAAAATACTGGCTACTAAAATTCACTTTTCCCAGGGTAATAAAAAATAGATTTAAAGATCTAATTTCTTCTTTATATCCTACTTCCAACCTTTCCAAATAACTTGTGTCTCTGCGACACATTAAGCATGGAAACGTCCTTTGAAAGGCAATTTGTTTTACAAACAAACAAACAAAAAAAGGCCCTGTCTGCCAATAATATGCGCCGGCAGTTTCAAATCTTTTGGATAATTGTCTGTGAAACACTATTTTAAAATATATACAAGAACAGCATTTTTTAAATTAACCACTCTGAAAATTTATATTCTATCAGTAAATAATTTCATATATTGCTGTATTTTCTATCTCAGGCTCTCCCATGGTAGAGGGGTCTCCCATCTTTAAGAAGACCTCCCCAACAATAAACTTAGCTGCAATTTAATCTTAGGCAATATAAGTCTTCAGGAGAAGAAAAATACATAACAATAGCCTCAAGAATGAAGTAACACCTTTGGTTTATTCCTCCTCTTATAGGGCATCTTTCTAAAGAGAAACTGTAACGTTTCTCCCAAGGCAGAAAACATGATCACCACGGCGCCAAACCTCCTCCGCTGCCCTGACAAGTATGGAGCCAGCCTCGTCTGGAGCATTTCTGCCCTGAGCTCGCTCTCAGAAGCAGAGACAGGAACACACTGCATTTCCACTGTGCTGATTCACTGAACCTTTTGTGCAAGTACACAGGAATGTTTGCTTCTTAGTTTGAAACCCTTCCAGGCGTGATGACTGTGCCTCAGCCTGCCCTTTGTCCTCGCGGCTGCTGTCACGCGTGTGACAGGAGAGAACACTGATGCAGCCCTGGCCATCAATGGGCATCAAACCAAGCACTTCACAGGCATCCCCTTCACTTCATTCTCACAACAAATCTGTGGCCCATGAGAGCATCCAGCCTCCAAAAGGCTCCTGATAAACCGCCTGTGCTCAACCCTGGGATGGGGCAGAGACCAGGTTTCCACGGTGTCCTCGTGTCTAGCAGCTAGCGTAGTTGGCCTCATAGAATTGGCTCTTCAAAAACTCTTTGAGTAAAGTTTTTCTTCCCTAAAGATTTCAATCACAATATGCGACATGGTTACTCTATATGCTAGTTCTCCCTCAGACCCTCCCAGTGTTGTTTTCCCAATTAACACAGGAAACATAAACTGCATGAGAGCAGGGACTATCTCTAGCAGTGCTCTATTTTTAGCATTTGAAGGGGGAAGAAAGCTTGGCAGAGTAGGTATTCATTTGCACAAATTCATTATGCATTTGTTGAATGAATAAAATATCTGGAAAACGGGCTGTTAATGACAGTCAATTTGGAAAACAGCATGACCTGCAGAAGACCTGAATGATGTACTTGTTTTGCTCCTTTTCCTAAAATTCAGTAGGTAATGATTCATCTCCTAGCCTAAGTAGCACGGGACTAACTAGGGGATGTCCAGTAAATCATTTATGTACAACTCTGTGAAGCAGCTTTCTCTGCTGGCAACAGTAAAAGTCAGGTAGTCATGGCTTTGCCAGAAAGAAACTACATCAATGTGGCCCAATTTTATCTCGGGCCCTTTGGCTTCTTCACAGGGGAGAGTGGAGGGTTTTGATCTCTTGAAATTCTTTCCCCTATAAAGCAAAACATCTGTCCTATCAATTCAGTGATTCCCACAGACTATCTCAGAAACTTCCAAGAAATGTCACTTGTGTGCGCCAATGCCCTTCTTCCATCCTAAATATCCACAGTGTGGTTTCAGTCCAGCTCTTCCTAACCCTAACAGAAACCGGGAACATTCCTTCCCATTCAAAAGCACAGAGCAATTACAATTTGCACTGACTGGCAACTCCCTGGCATCAGTACCATTTCTGCAACACAATTATTCCACCTGCCCTTCATGTCTGCGCCCAACTACTCTGTATGTCCACTTAAGTACGAGTGACATTTGAAACTGTCAAATCGTTGCCTGCATGTGGTGTTGGAGTGCCTAAGGAATTAGAGTTAAAGCAGATAACTAACATGAATATCAGAAGTGAAGATGCTGAAGAATTAAGCAAGCACAGAAATCAAGAAAACAAATTCACATTACAGACACTTTTAAGTGTAAGTAGAGAACCAAGACACAGGCAAGAAGAAAAATGCACACTACACACTATGACGGGCTTCGATTCCTGAAACCGAATAATCTACTATAACACAAAACTCTTGAAGAAAAAGCAATTTTTCTCCTTGACTCAGTGTTCTACATAACAGCATTCCTTTTCTATCAAGAAAAATATACTTCCATCACTGCAATGAATATGCATGACTATTTTACATAGTAAGCATGCAATAAATACTTCTTGAATTAATGAATAAATTTCCCCTGTCTAATGTCTGCTGTGAATTTTAAAGATCCTAAAAAGGAGGGAGGGAGGAGACAACGCTGTATTTGTTTATTTGATGAGTATCCAATATATCACCATTAATCAGTGCTTCAAAATGACAATCTTGACCTCAATTAGTGTTTCTCCAATAAAATTATTTGCTGTGATAATACAGACAGTCTTTAAAAGTTAGATCATGGCAGACCCAGTGGCTATTATTAATATTCTTTTTTTCTTTTTGAGACACAGTTTTGCTCTTGTCGCCCAGGAGGGAGTACAGTGGCACGATCTCAGCTCACTGCAACCTCCGCCTCCTGGGTTCAAGCAATTATCCTGCCTCAGCCTCCCAAGTAGTTGGGATTACAGGCATCCGCCACCAGCCCCAGCTGATTTTTGTATTTTTAGTAGAGACAGGGTTTCACCATCTTGGCCAGGCCGGTTTCGAACTCCTGACCTCAGGTGATCCACCCACCTTGGCCTCCCAAGTGCTGGAATTCAGGCGTGGTCACCGCGGCCATGGCACCAATATCTTTACTAATCCGAATTTTTCTTTTTCTTTTTTCCTTTTTTTTTTTTTGTTGAAGACAGGGTTGCATATTGTCTCTTTTGCCCGAGTGGTAGAGTGTGTGGAACGCACAGGCCCATGGCGCCTTGACCTCCCAGGCTCAAGGATTCTCCCACTCAGTCCGAGTAGGTTTTGCATTGTCGGCCAGCTGGTTCTTGAACTCCTGGGCTCAGTGATCTTGCCCGCCTGGGCTTGCCCAAAAGGCTGGGATACACGGCGTGTGAGCTAGCTGTCCCAGTCTAATCGAAATAAAAAAAATAAAATAAATGAAGTGCTGCCAACTATAACTTATAATTATCAAAATTAGTATATTGCAGTACTGTTGAGTCTTTCCTTTTTTATATATATTCTGTAAGAAAAAACACTGCCATAAACCCCTATTAGAAAAAAATAGATTCAGACCTCTGGGCCGGATGCAGTGGCTCACGCTGTAATCCCTAGCCATTGAGCCAAGCGGGCAGATCTCCAAGGTCCAGATTGGAGCACGGTGAAGCGCTTCTCTACTCCCGGGTACAAAGAATTAGCTGATGTGCCCACCTGTTCCCAGCTACTTGTGCAGAAATGGGTAACCCGCAAGCTCCAGGAGCGAGATCCCACCAGCCGCCGCCTGGACACCAGAACGCCCTCAAAAAAAAAAAAAAAAAGATACAGACCTTGACATGTTAAGGAGTCATAGAAAAAATCTTTAGTATTTTTTCCTTGAAACCCTCCTCACCTCCCACTTCCAGTTCCCTTAGAGGTGGGTAAGCTCCTTCTGGATCTGTACTCAGCTCTTTTTAGCATTTAACGCTTACAGTTTACACTGCTTGTTTTGTTTTGTTTGTTTTTGTAGTGTTAGTTCCTTGTCACCAGGCTGGAGTGCAGTTGGCACAATCTCAGCTCCTGCAACCTCAGCCTCCCTGGTTAGAGTTCTCCTGACTCAGCCTCCCAAGTAGCTGGGACTACAGACGCATGCCACCATGCCCAGTTAATTTTTGTATTTTTAGTAGAGAAGGGGTTTCACCATGTTGGCCAGGCTGGTCTCGAACTCCTGACCTCAGGTGATCCACCTGCCTCAGCCTCCCCAAGTGCTGGGATTACAGACATGAGCCACTGCGCCCGGCCTACATTGTCTTTATGACCTTTTGTTTTCATGGTAGACTGAAACTGAACTAGCAGTACAGCTCAAGTAAAAAAATTCATGTCATTGCACATGGCAAGAGGTGAATGAATGGCTCGGTGAGAGGTGGATGGGATTGGAATGAGAATTAAACCCCTTAGTCTGCTCCTAGTAAGAGTAAATGCCCAGTATAGGGGTGTGGGTGGCTAGATACTAAACAATAGTGATATATAACAAATGACAACAGGAAAAAAAATAGGCATTAAGCATCCTATATTAAATACACACACATGAAGTATCCTGGGATCTATGGGAATTCAATTTACAGATTAAATAGGCTGCAATAAAAATGTCAAGGGACTAAGTTAAAAAATGATGTACTGAAGGGCAGGGTGGACAGAAGTGACAACATGCATTAATTTTTACAAACCTACTCCACTGTGAAAGAATCTTGTCAATCCAATAATAAGTGTTGGCAAGGATGTGGAATAATTGGTACACTGCTTGCAGGAACGCTGGTGGTGTAGCCACTCTGCAAAAAGAGTCTGACGGTTCCTTAAAACATTAAACATGGAGATACCACGTGATCCTGCCATTCTGCTCCTGGGTGTTATACTGAAAACATGTCCATGCAACAACGTGTATATGAATGTTCACAGCAGCATTATTCCTAATAGTCAAAAAGTCCACTGAGGAATGGATAAAGTCCATATGTACTCTGGCCTGACATTTTCACTTCTAGAAATACATTCTATAGATACAGTCACACATATAGACAGACACATACATTGATGCTACTGCAGACATTTGCAATAGGGACTGGAAAACTCCCGAATAACCATCTATTTATTGCTACTAAATAAATCATGATTTGGCCATACATTGCAGCCATCAAAAGATAATCAGCCGGGCACAGTGGTTCATGCCTATAACCTCAGCACTTTGGGAGGTCTAGGCTGGAGAGGATCACAAAGTCAGGAGTTCAAGACCAGTCTGGCCAACATAGTGAAACCCCATCTCTACTAAAAATACAAAAATTAGCTGGACATGGGCATGCACCTGTAGTTCCAACTACTCAGCAGGCTGAGGCAGAAGAACTGCTTGAACCTGGGAGGCAGAGGGTGTGGTGAGCCCAGATAGCGCCACTGCACTCCAACCTGGGCAACGGAGCGAGACTCCGTCTCAAAAAAAAGAGAACTAATCCTGCTGATAAGGCACAATTTCCAGAAACTTGAATGTGCACAGAAAACTGAAGGAGGAAAAACATTACCAAGGGAGGGAGATTCCATAAAACTCATTTGATAGGCCAGGTGAAAGTTCACACCTGTAATCCCAGCACCTTGGGAGGCCGAGGCGGGCGGATCACAAGGTCAGGAGTTCAAGACTAGCCTGGCCAATATGGTGAAACCCCGTCTCTACTAAAAATGCAAAAATTAGCCAGGCGGGCCGGGCGCGGTGGCTCAAGCCTGTAATCCCAGCACTTTGGGAGGCCGAGACGGGCGGATCACAAGGTCAGGAGATCGAGACCATCCTGGCTGACATGGTGAAACCCTGTCTCTACTAAAAATACAAAAAACTAGCCGGGCGAGGTGGCGGGCGCCTGTAGTCCCAGCTACTCGGGAGGCTGAGGCAGGAGAATGGCGTAAACCCGGGAGGCGGAGCTTGCAGTGAGCTGAGATCCGGCCACTGCACTCCAGCCTGGGCGACAGAGCGAGACTCCGTCTCAAAGCCAGGCATGGTGGCAGGCACCTGTATTCCCAGCTACTTGAGAGACTGAGGCAGGAGAATTCCTTGAACCCAGGAGGCAGAGCCGAGACTGAGCCACTGCACACCAGCCTGGGAAACAGAGCAAGACTCCGTCTAAAAAAAAAAAAAAGAAAAAACTCATTTGACAATGTTTGACTTTTTAGAAGTGTGCATGCACTGCTTTTTAAATTAAGAAAACAATAATAGAGGGAAAAACACATTGGGAAGGAAAGGACCAGTTGCCATTTGCTGAAGACAGGCCTCAAGCCTTCCCCCAAAAGCCCTATAAAAAGTAATCTAAACTCTGTATCTGAAGATACTTTAATTGGCCTTGTATATCACACTGCAGACTATCACTGAGGACTATCACTGTGACCTAGAGAAGTCACAGGGAAAGGTGACTATAACCTTTACTCCCCTGGAGCTCCATTACATTAAAGCTGGACCCTTCCATTATTAGGGCTTGCAATCTGACAGGAATTTTTTTTTTTTTTTTTTTTAGCAGCAGCAAGATTTATTGTGAAGAGTGAAAGAACAAAGCTTCCACAGCGTGGAAGGGGACCCAAGAGGGTTGCCCGCCCTCTGATAGCATTTTTATTTCATATAATGCACCTCTCCTCAGTATTCTGCTTGGTTATATTTTTCTGAAGTTAATCAATTGGTGACTGCCTGACTAAGGCTAGCCACATCATATTTGATCTCCATCAAGGAGAAAGATTTACTCCAATGACTTTGCTGTCACAAACCTTCTGATTGAAAACCTAAATGTTCATCAACAGGGACTGTCTAAATAGGTTAAAAAAAATTTAAATCTACATATACATTTAAATCCATACGTACTCGTTAGTGGTTTCATTCATAAAACCGTATGTACATTGGCCTAAGCGGTAATTAAAATCAAGCCAGTCTTGTATGCACCAACTCAGAACCATCATTCTAATAAGAAACACTACGAAAATGGAACAATGTGCAACACAACATGTTGTGTGCTACTCGCACGTGTATGGTAAAGAATATATAGCATATATAGATGCATGCACAGTCTATTTCTGGAAGGCTTCACAAGAAACTGGGAAGAGTAGTTGCCTCTAGAGAAGGACACTTGGAGGCTGTGAGACCAACTTTTCTGTAAGTACTCCTGTGCACCTTTAGAATTGGAGTTCTGCACCATGCACATGCATTAATTGTCTTAAAATTAAATTCCATTCAACACAGATCCTTTGAAGAGGTATAAATAATAACGGGCAGAAACTACGTGTAGGCCCACCCGCTCCCAGCCCCACCCGTCCTCGGTGAGGCCCTCTTCTGGGAAGTGCACAACGTTGGAGGGACCTGGCTTCTCAGCCTCAGCAGGCTTCACCTCCCGCACACCCCCCGCCCCGTAGCTATCGGCGTGGGGGGGGGACTGGGTACTCAGGGCAACCCCTTCCTCTGCCCGCTCTGGTTCCCAAGGGCCATCCACCAAAGCCGAGAAACCTGCTCTGCTCTCAGCTTCATTTCAAAAGGACCTTAGTTTCCAGAGTGTCTATGAACCTAGAATATTATTTCTCCTAAACGCCTGTTTGCTCAACACTTCAACTTAATGTTCTCGCCACTCCAGCTTACCTGGTTTATCAAAGGCTAGGGGCGGGAAGCAGTTCTTATTAACGCCACGCACCGAGGTTGGCACATTCCCCGCCACTGAAAACAGACTGCCAATTCCCTCAAAACCGTGGACAGCTCTGCTGTTTACACAGCGTTGGCACATACATCATCACATTTAATGCCTTTACACGCGTCACTGTCAATCCCAGCAAACCTAACAGCTGCCAAATTGGATTTATGAGTCTCCAAGAACGGTCGAATCAGCACTAACAGAA